GCTTATGGTTAGATCAGCAAATAATCCACTCAATCCAAGTCTGTTGACTGTTAAGTGTTTGCACCATTGCAGCCCAAAAATATATATATATATACAAAAAACAATGCACCACGACTGAGCTCACCGTGTCAATTGAAAGGGTCCTAGACTTTCAGTGTGCCATGCATAAAGGTTGAAGAAATATGTTTCAGAACTGCCCTCTCAAGGTTTTGCAGTATATGAGGCCCGAGTCGAGCAGAGAAACTTCTCTCCTGTGACTTACTTGACTGACTTGTCACAGTTCTTGTAATCAAAAAATGTCATGGAGTTGGTGCATCAGTTTAATCAGTCCGTCTGAAACTCACCCAGTGCAGAGGTTCCATGGTGCAAAAATACACAAAAGTTTTTTTACGTGCTAAATTTGTGGCGTTAATTAATCGTAATTAACGCGTTAAAGTCCCGGCCCTAATACATATACATTTCCAAATCTACACTGCTCACAAAAACTTAGGGCACACTCAAAAAACACATCCTAGATGTCAAATCTTTATTCATAGTGTGTTGAGAACAAAATACTAGGGCTGTCAAACGATTAATTTTTTTTAGTTGATTAATCGCATAGTAATGGTGAGTTAACTCACGATTAATCGCATTTTTTACATTCTATTTCAAATCAACTCCAATTGAAGTTAAATGAGATTTTCAAATGTAATGACACATTGTTATTCATACCAATTATACTTAAATCTGTTTGACTTGCTCACAACCTTCTACTTTTGGGTACAACCAACAAGAGCTGTTAATGAAAGGGAAAATGTAGGTACCCCAGCAAGGTTAAGTTAGGAGCTCTCTGAGAGGACTCTGAGAATCTTTAGGCATACGGCCCCTGGTCCTCTCCTGTCTCTCCTAGTGTTGTCCTGGTAAGTAAGTAAGTCATCTTTATTTATATACCGCCTTTCACAGACCAGAGTCAAAGCAGTTTACAATTGTCAGTTTTTGGCACTTGTCTCTCACTCCACACAGAGATGGGAGGGGCCAGTACACTCAGCCACCCTGCCGCCGGTCCTCTCCTATCTTAACACAAATATTACTTATTTAATTTGACAGTAACAGAATCAGTTTGAAAATAGGGCAAACAAAGTTCAACATTGTGTGTGTCTTGACTGAAAGAACCATGTCATTTCTCACTTCTACCTCCATGAGTGTAAAGCCTGGTTCACACGGCATGATAATTAGGCCGATTTTGGACCCGATTTACCCCTACGATAACCGTAAGAACGCTCCGAATATCGTATCAATAAATCTGATGTTCCGTGTGTGGTGTTAAGACTGAGCTCGTCGCTCGAAGGACTTCGGGACTGCTCCGATCTCAATATCAGGATATCCAACATGTTGGATTGTTTTGGCCCCATTTCTCTTTTTGTGTCGTGTCCTCTGAGGACAGACGAGCGCGTTGCCATGACTGCGGCGTGTAGCCAATCAGAAGACGAGACGAGGCGGCGAGGAAACACTGTAAAAAAACAACTCATCTCCAAATCACGGTGTAACAAGTACAGTCCGAGCACATGTTGTCTACACTTCTTTGATCATCGACTTTTCTTTTGATTACGTCTTTTCTCTGCTAAAAACAAACTATCGCCACTGCATCCTCTCCGTCCGCCATGATCGTTTAATCTGAAGTCACGCTTGATCTCGCGAGATTTTGTGAGATTTCCGTCTGACCTGTGAATGCTCGGGGGGAAATCGGTTCGTCTGTGATTTTTGCCGAGTGGCTGCACCACACACTGTACGACCACAGTGGTTAGACCCATGATTTTTTTATCTCCGTGTGTGGGGTCTCACACAGAGAAAAAAATCGGCCGACAATTTTAAAATAGTCTCGTGTGAACAAGGCTTAAATCTATATTATAATGATCTGACATGTCTTTGTTGTGTTTGTGGCAGATCTACAAAGTCCATCTACAGAATGGGGGTCACCTGTGATCAGTGTGGAAAGACCTGCAGCTGTGCTTCTGAACTAAAGACCCACTACAGAACTCACACTGGAGAAAAACCATACAAGTGTGATCAGTGTGGAACAGGTTTTTCTACAAAAAGAGGTCTCAAGATCCACAGCAGAATCCACACTGGAGAAAAACCCTTCAGCTGTGACGTTTGTGGTCAGAGTTTTAGACATAAGAATTCTCTGAAAGAACATCGGAGTGTCCACACTGGAGAGAAACCATTTGAGTGTGACCAGTGTGGAGAAACATTTAGGACGAAATACTACTTCTCACTACATCAGCATGTCCACACAGGAGAGAAACTTCATCGGTGTGACCAGTGTGAAAAGACTTTTACACGTTTATCTAAACTCACTCGGCACTACAGAATCCACACTGGAGAAAAGCCATACGAGTGTGATCAGTGTGGAACAGGTTTTTCTACAAAAAGAGGTCTCAAGATCCACAGCAGAATCCACACTGGAGAAAAACCCTTCAGCTGTGACGTTTGTGGTCAGAGTTTTAGAGAAGGTGGTACTCTCAAAAAACATCTGAGGATCCACACAGGAGAGAAACCATTTGAGTGTGACGAGTGTGGAAAAACATTTAGGACCAAACACCACCTCTCACAACATCAGAGTGTCCACACAGGAGAGAGACCTCACCAATGTGACCAGTGTGAGAAGACTTTTACACTATTATCTAGCCTCACTAAGCACTACAGAATCCACTCCGGAGAAAAACCATTCGTCTGTGGAGACTGTGGGAAGGTGTTTACTCAGTTTTCAAACTACAAAAGACATGAGAGAATCCACACTGGAGAAAAAACATTCGTCTGTGGAGACTGTGGGAAGGAGTTTACTCAGTTTTCAAACTACAAAAGACATGAGAGAATTCACACTGGAGAAAAACCATTTGCATGTGACTTCTGCAGCAAAACCTTCATAACTGCAGCACAGCGCACAGTTCACCATCGGAGCCACACTGGAGAGAAACCGTACAAGTGTGATCAGTGTGGAACATGTTTTTTCCATAGAGGAAGTCTTAATGATCACAGAAGGATTCACACTGGAGAAAAACCCTTCAGCTGTGACGTTTGTGGTCATAGTTTTAGACATGAGAATACTCTCAAAGATCATAAGAGGATCCACACTGGAGAGAAACCATTTGTCTGTGAAAAGTGTGGAAAGTCTTATACTCATAGACCATCTCTTCGTAAACACATTCAAACCTGTAAGACGCAGGTGTGAAGATGCAGCATCTGCGTCTGTAGGAGGTTTCACTATAGTGTGCAACTCTTTTAACCTTTTAGCCTTATTTGTGAGATTCAAGCTAATTAGGGTTGGGCAAGTTAGCTAACTACTTAATATCATAGCAGCCAAGAGATTCCTACACTTAAAAGGAGAAGTTAGGATGTTGGGAGTAGGGCTGGGCGATATGGCTGAAAACTAGTCACAATATTAAGTAATTCATATCGGTCGATCACGATATATATTGATTGTTTTTTATTTATTTTTTAAAACGTAAATAAATACATTTGTCGTGTTGGCTAACACATGTTAGCAGCTCTGTTTACAGTCACGGGGGAATGAGGCTGGAGCCAAATGTTCACAAGCAGTCTCCCCCACTTTAGTCCTGGTTTAGTCCTGGTTTAGTCCTGGTTTAGCTCCTGTTTTGGCTGTTTTCGAGTGTCTTGTGTCCCCGTGACGGCTCCAGAAAAAGTGAATCCCTTGCTTTTGCCGAATGCATCAGTCTCTGTACCCACTGCCTCCCGCCGCACATGCTGTTCCTCGCACGGACGTGTTTAACCTTTGACACGGCCTGAAACACGATGGACGCTACGCATGGTTGTTGTTTTTGCTTTTCCCAGAATGTTTAGCGGTTTGTAGTCGGCTGTGATAGGTCGAGAAGTCTCTGCCTACATCCCCCAGAATGCCGCGCGCTTCTGACTCGGCTTTACTTCCTGTGTTTTGTTCCTGTTTTTTTTTTTGAACGGAGTGAAGTGAAACTATGAATCTGAACTATCAAACGTTCTGTCGACCCCGTTTTCTATTGATATCGAATACGTGTCTATCGCAAAATATATCATTATCGATTTATCGCCCAGCCCTAGTTGGGAGTGTTTTTCAGGCAAAGGAAAAGAATGTGGGGGAGCAGGATGCGATCCAGAATCAGAGTCCCAAGACCAAGACCAGATCAAGATCAGACCAGAGTCCAGACCGAGACCAGGAACTGGCTGATAAGACACGCCCCTTCTGCACATTATACTTATACTGATTTTGGATGATGTTTATTAGTCAGACACATAAGGGAAAGAGAGCAGGGATAGTTAGGATATGAGCTTTTTGAATTTCTGTATCTGATTGTAAAGATAAATAAAATACAGATGTTTAACTTGAAAATCTGTATTTGCAGATGTATTTAATGGTGCAGTTCTGGGCACAGCCGACAGATGGCGCTGTGTGACTGTTTCAGTGTGAGCTCTCCTGCTGTGAGCTTCGGTGCATTTCTCAGACTTAAAGTTCTCACAAATATTAGTCCAACCTGTTTAATAACATCATCCTTGTCAGAATGAAACACACTGAAGCTGAAGAGTCATTCCCTTAAAACTAATCGTCCTCATTTCATCGCTGGAGTCGTTAAGACACAATTGTCAAACTAATTTCATACATTCTTTTATTCTTTTTTTCCTGAAATTCTCTCCGCTGTGATGTCGATGATAATATGTGACAGACAGGAAGGCGTAGCAGTCCAGGAATAATGTATGTACAGTTTACAGTAATATGTGTGTTATATTGTTTACGTTCTAATATAATGCTATTTCTTATGTTTGTTCTGAATAAGTGACAACGCTGTAGAAAATCAAAATCATCTGCAGTAAATGTGTAAAATACATGTGTGTTGTTCTCAGTTACTCCCTAAATACAGTCCTGTGTCACTTTACTGTCGTTTTCAAACGTGCTTCGTGCTCAAGAGTCACCAACATCTGACTTTGGCTTTGAAAACACAGAGTAAACCATTTGATCATAAACACTGGTGTCAGGACTTATTATGCTGTCCTCTGGTCCCTGTCCTCTGGTTCCTGTCCTCTGGTCCCTGTCCTCTGGTTCCTGTCCTCTGGTCCCTGTCCTCTGGTCCCTGTCCTCTGGTCCCTGTCCTCTGGTTCCTGTCTTCTGGTTCCTGTCCTCTGGTCCCTGTCCTCTGGTCCCTGTCTTCTGGTCCCTGTCCTCTGGTTCCTGTCTTCTGGTTCCTGTCTTCTGGTTCCTGTCTTCTGGTTCCTGTCTTCTGGTTCCTGTCTTCTGGTTCCTGTCCTCTGGTCCCTGTCCTCTGGTCCCTGTCCTCTGGTTCCTGTCCTCTGGTCCCTGTCCTCTGGTCCCTGTCTTCTGGTCCCTGTCCTCTGGTTCCTGTCTTCTGGTTCCTGTCTTCTGGTTCCTGTCTTCTGGTTCCTGTCTTCTGGTTCCTGTCTTCTGGTTCCTGTCTTCTGGTTCCTGTCTTCTGGTTCCTGTCGTCTGGTTCCTGTCTTCTGGTTCCTGTCTTCTGGTTCCTGTCTTCTGGTTCCTGTCTTCTGGTTCCTGTCTTCTGGTTCCTGTCTTCTGGTTCCTGTCTTCTGGTTCCTGTCTTCTGGTTCCTGTCTTCTGGTTCCTGTCCTCTGGTCCCTGTCCTCTGGTCCCTGTCCTCTGGTCCCTGTCCTCTGGTCCCTGTCCTCTGGTCCCTGTCCTCTGGTTCCTGTCCTCTGGTTCCTGTCCTCTGGTTCCTGTCCTCTGGTCCCTGTCCTCTGGTCCCTGTCCTCTGGTTCCTGTCCTCTGGTTCTTGTCCTCTGGTCCCTGTCCTCTGGTCCCTGTCCTCTGGTCCCTGTCCTCTGGTTCCTGTCATCTGGTTCCTGTCCTCTGGTTTCTGTCTTCTGGTCCCTGTCCTCTGGTTTCTGTCCTCTGGTCCCTGTCCTCTGGTCCCTGTCCTCTGGTCCCTGTCCTCTGGTCCCTGTCCTCTGGTTCCTGTCCTCTGGTCCCTGTCCTCTGGTCCCTGTCCTCTGGTCCCTGTCCTCTGGTCCCTGTCCTCTGGTCCCTGTCCTCTGGTCCTGTCCTCTGG